ATACATTGAAGTACGCTAAAAAAACCCATTCACAGATGGACAGGCTTGTATGATCCCTACAACACGGCTACATTAAAGACTCATCCAGAGCACAGAAAGCATGCTGCTAAATGAATGCAGAGAGGGTCGGCTGTCACCAAACACCCCCAGTCTAAGTCTCTTCACAGTGCCCCCACCTGAAAGCCTGGTCTTTCACTAAGGAGAACCGCTGCTTGGGGAAGATTAAAGGGCATTGTAGTGGTGGGGTATAGGTGTGTGTGTGTGTGGGGGGGCAGGCACCTCCTTTTATTTTATTCTGCTATTTTTTTAATCTAGCCTTGTGCTGGGTTTTAAAAAAAAATATTTTGACCATAATTGGAACACAAGATATAACAACTTTGTTCCTAAGTATAACTTCATGTATTTACTGTGGTTGTTCATTGCTATTATTAGACAGTTTGTTGCTGATAATTAACATTAACAAGCAGGTGACTAGTTGAGACTGATAGTAACGGAATTTACAACTGCTAAAACTGACAAGTATCAAAGTATAAAATAACGTTGGCAGTGCTCAGATTTTGATCAGTGCTTAGATTTTGATCAGTGCTCACTGGTTAACTAATTTAAATAAACAAATCTTGCCTTTTCCGTTTGAAATGTAAGTGAAAGCACAAACTCAGCATCTGGGACACCTTCACTTATTTTCATTGTCATCCTTAAGGACAGGGCTGTTGTTAGAGATTTTGGGCCCCCATATCATATCGGGCCCTCAACTCAAACCGATCCAATTATGTTACAAATATTTAGGGGCCCCTGTCACTGGGGGGCCCTTGGAATCGTCCTAACTTACCCTCCCTTTATTGGCCCCCAGCTTGTGAATCAGGCTGGGCTTCTGTACCCCTGATCAGAATGTCTGCAGTGTGAATCCTGGGTCCAGCACCCTAATGCTGCCATGGCGCCCTTAAGAGCATAAGACATTTTCAAACTAGAGGAGACCATTCGGCCCATCAAGCTTGTTTGGGGAGAACTCAACCAATAGCTCAGAGTTGTTAAAAATCTTATCTAGCTCTGATTTAAAGGAACCCAGGGTTTTAGCTTCCGCTACACTGACAGGAAGACTGTTCCAGGCCCTTACTCCCTGACTACTCCAGCAGTGTTGCATGATAAATGGGTGACCCTGCCCTCGGGCCCCAAACTACCATAATACAACCCAAGGATCAAGCTGGTTTTGGCAATACTGTGGTAGTAATTATTACTGTTCTTGAAGGGCAAGCTAGCCAGAATAGAGGCTGCAATATATGGTAAATATACAGCTATTTGAAAAGGTGTGATGTAATATTGCTTGGGACACTAGAGGTTCCATTTATTCCGAAAAATTTTGGTAACTCTCATCTATAATAAGTACCTAATGCATTAACACATACAATGTGTTATGCCTTTTTATAAATAGGTATGGCTGTTTTTACAATACTTTTTGAATGCATTATGAGGGTATCTATAACGCATTATACGTGACTGCTTTAAGTTAAGTGTTACCAACATGATTTATATTTCTGCTCACTTCTCAAAACGATAAACAGTATAATTGACAGCATACGACATTGTTGAACATTTTACAGCCCTACATGACTGACCCAACACCAAAAGATCTACACTCTTCTGATGGGATAGCAAAACAGCGATGGTGGCTTCCGTGGACTTTGCTCTGGCAATTCTCGCTATTCTGAAAGACGAAACCTTCCTATAAATTATATGAAAAATCTTATAATAAATAAAGAGAATTAATGCTTCTTCACGTAAATACTGAAACAAACGATAGTGTTGAAAGAGGTGATTCTGCTCTTTTCATAATAAAGCGTAGTGTTTGATATATGAACAGAGTTTAAAATGACAGAGCTCCACCCGCTCCTCTCCACCGAGAGGCACACTCTCCTTCGCGCACCCCCTCCTTCCCGGCGCGGCGCAGCACGCAGGCGTGTCGGACGGTACTGCAGGCAGGGGGCGTCATCATGGCGGAGAGAAGCGCGTCGCCCTCGAAACGGCACAAGCTCCGGGCTGCGCCGCTATCTGGCTGACATCAGGAAGAAATCCTAAGCAGGAGAAGGACGCCGCTCCGTTCATCCAGTAAAATTCAGATTGTTCGCAAGCTGTACGCCGTCTTATGCTTCTTCTGCGGAACAGTGTGGATTTTATTAAAGAGGGGATTTTTCTCCATATAATTATTACAGAAAATTCTTTTTTATTTTTTACTTGATGCTTTTGCTTAGTCGGGGGTGATATAAAGCAGGTGAGATCGCGGCCGCTCCTTCCGATTTGGGTGGAAATGTCGAGCGAGAAGCCGGTTTCAGTACCGGGTTCGGTCTCGCTCTCGGACCGCGAACCACCTCCGGGACATGGGCAGCAAGTGGCTACGGGCTCTGTGACCGGGGACATGATGGTGTCCGGTTCGGGTTCGATGGTTCTGCCGGCCGGGGTGATCAACCCGTCGGTTCCGATCCGGAATATCAAGATGAAATTCGCCGTTCTCATCGGTCTGATCCAGGTCGGGGAGGTTAGCAACAGAGACATCGTCGAGACAGTCCTGAATCTGGTAAGGATGACACAACGTACCACAAATTACTTGATGATTTTTGTATGTTTGTGTTTTTCAACGAATTCCCTTGTGCTTTTAGAGGGTGCCGTTTCTATGGATATTTGTCGTTGTGGTAGCAGAAAACACAATTATTGCAGACGTGTTGCGATGCCTGTCCTTTCTACGTTATAGTGCCATGGTTTAGTTTCCTCGATACTTCCTTTGTTGACTGTATATTTAAGCAGAAGGCGCAGAAACGCAGGCAGAGCGCGACATTATGATGCTATAGCGGGATCGGAGGGCTATCATCAGGCGTCTTGGTGCCCCTGCCTTCCAGCCGCTGTTTATTTTGCGGGCAGCGCCGCGTTACTTTGTATCCCCTCGCGGCAGCGCTGACACGCGCCCGGGCGGATATCAAAGCGACCGCCGCTGGTGCGCCGTTATCTGCGGGTTTCAGCGGGCTGTAGTGGCGGACTTGCCGGTGTAACTTAACGGGATCGGCTTCTCGCTCTCCCCGTCTCCCTTTAGCTAGCATGGTGCTCGGTGTCCGCGGGCACCGCCGGGGTTTATCTTAACAAAGGCTGAACCGCGATCGCCGTTTTGTCTCTGCTTGGGCCGTGTCTCGGGTTTATTTTTTGAATGTTATTTTCGTGCTTGCTTATTTTATTCTGGTCAGCGCAGCCTCGTTTCAGTGGCATTTTCCAAGGTGGCCTGGTGCCGGCCGTGAGAATAATGTCACCTGCTCCTTTGTGGATTCGTGCTCTCGCCTCTAGGTTTATAAACAATTTTTATTTAACATTTGACTGCCGTTGGCTGACAGGCCGGATTCGTCTCGCACCTGGGAGCCAGGTTCCTTGCGCCCAAAGAGGGTAGACAAAGATCACGCCTTTTAATATTGATGTCCGGGCGTATGAACGGCGACTTGGACATATGCAGGGGTAGGGAGATGGGATCGTAGTCAAAGCAGCCCCCCTTTCCTGCCCTGCTTAAGTGTATGTTCTCAGGATGTCGCTTTCATCATAGAAGCGGTAGCCAGGCGTGTTTCCAGCAGCCTACAGATGCTCCAAGGCCCGAAGGGAGACCTTACGTCATATTGCTTAAAACCACAAAACAATGACTATGCGCAGGTGATTCAATGGTGTTTTTACGAGATGTGCCTTTTATAGCATTTACCGGCTACGCTGTGACGGCGGTCCGGGTGGCATCGAGGCCGCGGAGCCCAGGAGCGGATCGTCGGTTAAGTTGAGCGGAAGTGCGCTCGATGCACCGGCCCGGCAGCGACGGGCGGCCCACGGCACACCGATATGTTATTCACATTTTGCAGAAACCGCCTGTACTGCTTTATCGACTGAGGCGAAAATAACCCCGGGGAATTATGCGGGGGAAAGACACGGACTGATAGACTAGCATTAATCAATAGTTTTAATGGTATGCGTACCAAATTAAACGGGAGGTGAAGCTGGGATGAAAATTCATATATTCCAAAACCACTTTTCAAAAAAATCATTTTCGAAAGATTTTTGCTGTTTTACTCTAGAAGATAATGCCCAGCAAAAAACATATCTTTTGTTTTTATTTTCCTGCCTTTGTAAATATTAACCAGGCGGGACAAGTGTTTTAGTGGTAGTGTGTTAGCGTATCGCACATTATCTGTGAATAAGCTGTAACACTGCCCCCCAATTGATGACCCTCCCCCCTTGAGAGGTCACCAAGAGTAGTTGAAGGGAGATTCGCATGAGAGAGGAGAAGGAGGTCTTTGAATAGGAGCATGTGAAAAGGAGGAGTACTGGCAGGAGCTGGCCCAGGCACGGCCATGAAGTGGGCCGCTCTTTCATGGCTGTCCTCGCCGCCCATCTGACTCTGCTGGGATGGGAGGGCTATCAGACAGTAGAAATGTGTGGCCGGGCTGCTTCTGTCCCTCTCTCACACTGCATGTGAAGTCACCCTGTTTCCACCCGTGGTGTGAATGTCCACGTATGCACCCTGCGGTGTGACCCAAGGACATTCAGTACTGTGGAGAAAAACTCCATACATTTAGAACCACACAGGGTCCCTCAAGGACAGGTTCAGTCTGCTGGAAGAGAAGCAGCAGATTCGCCCATGCTGCTCTCCACAGCTGGTGGCCTTGGGGCTCGTAGTGCGATCGCAGTGCCGGGCTGGAAATGAATGAGGTGGAGCTGGTGCTGATCTACTTCATCCTTCTCCGGTCTACATGCTGACTAGTTTTTGCTGGTCTTAAGGTGTTTTTCTTTTGTCAGTAATTATAAGTTGTTAATGACCATATTTTCGGTCTCTGAGTGAGTCATGTGGATGATTAATTGTTATCTATCTAATGCAGGCAAATGTAAACATGCAGCACATCTGTAAACTCAAACTTCTCATGAACAACTTGATTCAAGAAATCTTGGGATTTATTCCTTGTTTTAAGGTTTGTTTGTCAGAAGAGGGGGATGTAACAAGCATTTTTTTGTATTACAAAGTTCTAGTGGCAGATTAGTATGTTGTGCCTCGAATGTGAGGCGCGAGTAGCAGAGGCCAGATTGTGTAATTAACGGTGACTCGTTTGTTTTTCAGACGTCCAGCTGACAAATAGGTTCACAAAAAGGCTTTTCAAAGCAGGAGGGCCTGCCTGTCTTGTGACTTTTAATGCGTGATGCCAGACTATAAATCCGGCCCGTGGATCCCCCTGGTGCTGAGGTGTCCTTCTGGCGTGGATAGCACTTTCCAGAGAATTGGCTGTCATGGTGATTCTGCCGCATGCACATGTGTTAGCTTGTTGTTAGCATGCACTGAATCCAAACCAGCTCTGTGCCTCTACCTAAATTTCAAATAATTTATCAGTTTGGTGGCTTACTGTAATGAATGTTGAAAACATTGCAATGGTAACTTTAAATTTTTTTTTATTTTTGCGCTGCTTTTGGTGGCATTACAGTGTTTTTCACCTTTTATTTGCCATCTACATAGCAAATTTAGCGAGATCAGCTTTTTCTTGCTGGTGTTATGCAAGCAAGTCATGACCCATGCGGTTTGTGTTGCATCGAGGCAGATTTGCAGCACCGCTGCTCCGGCAATTGCCGTGGCCGGCACTCGCTGCGATGACCCCTCCCTTGTTCTGCCAGTGGTCAGCTGACCGTGAAGCACGCGTCTGCCGGGGTGCCCAGCCACCTCCAATCACGGCGCCAAACCCAGTGGCCCCTGGGGGTAGCTGAACCTGACCCACTGGCGCCTCCCCTCTCCCGGAGCAACGTGCTGCTGTATCCATGGTAACGACGCCCTGGGATTTTCCTGCGAGCTTCCCATAGCACCAGCTGGTGCTTGCTCTGTTTTCCTGCTGTATCCGAGATGAAACTTAAAGAGGGTCTGGAAAAACAGGCCTGAGAGTGGCTTGTTTCCTCCTTGTTATTGTTTTGTTTGGCTTTTTTTGTTGGGGGAGACGTATACATTTGGCAGAGTGGAACCTCACCTCCCCCAAGACTGATACCTCAAAGATGTTGCCGCTTTGGGTGAGATGAGCAGCTTCTGTTCACCTGATTAGCCGTCCCCCAGCTGCGTGTGTTACTGTTACCCTGGGGGGGGGGGGGCACAGCATGACCACAACCGCAAGCACTGCCGCAGATGCTGTCAGAGCGCAAAAAACGATAACGTCACTACGTCAGATGGCTCTCCCAGAATGCATCAGCTGTGCGAATGTCATGATAACGCACAGTATTAAATAGAGAGAAGTAAGATGCACAGGGACACCTATTCTCAGCTTAGCAAACTGGGCAAAAGGTTGGGTGGTGAGAGCATATCTGGGTGGAGTGTATTCAAGATGGGAAAAGTACGATCCCGAAGGTATTCCAGAGAAATGCACGTTTTCCATAGCGACAGCGAGAGGCCCCTGTTCTGTGGTGGAAGAAAAAGAATGGGTTATTAATATTTATGTAACAGATGAAGAGCGGAGAAACATTTTCATTTAATCCTGATTTGGGTTTTTACCACAAGCCTGAATTGAAATAGATCACCATCCCTCTCGAGTACAATAGAGGTTCTTTAGATGTAAAAAGAAATTGTTCAATCCAGCTTTGATTACATTCTATTATTGCGCTTTCAGAATGATGATTCTTAAGGGTTTCCAGACCCTCTCAGGTGGTTTAGGTCGGATGTAGGTCCGTACTTTTGGTGGGAATTTTAGGGGGTGGGTCTCCCAGGCTGTTGGGGCAGGATGGGACTTTTTATTAGGTTTTTGGTTCTTTTCTGTGAAGCAGTTAGATCGGCTTACAGGAGAGAGCAGCTGGCCACTGCCGATTACCTGCGAGAAGAATAGAAGCGACGGTTGAGAGAAGAAAAAGGGTCGCGGTCAAGGGGGAAACGCAGCTGGTGTGTCGTCGCCGTCTCGAGCCGTGATTAATAGCTTCCCCCGTCGCATGTAATTGGATTACCGCGAGAGGAACGTCGGAAGGAACCATCTTCTCTCTTGTCTGTCGCAGATAGACCAGGACTGGCACGTAGACGTGGAGCGCCGCTCAAACACGTGGATCAGCATTGACTCCTAGAGAATCTGCCCATGTTACTGTCAATGTGAACTAAATGAAAACAGTTTCTTTTCATTTGTTAACTTCACTTTGGGGACAGTTTGATCCTTTTTGGTTGCAGGTTTTAATGCCTCTGTTTCTGCGAATAGCTCAGCCTTTTGTGTGAATTTAAAAAAAAAACAAAAAACATAAAACTTTATGGTTGTTGAGACTCTATATAAAAAGTCTCGTCTTTTGAAAGGCACCTTTCAAATCTTAAACATTGGCATGTATCTGGCTGCCAGTCATAGCCAGACTCAGCTGTCCAATATTAAAATTCAATTATCTAGCTTTATTATTTTTATAGCCCCCCCCCCCAAAAAAATATGAAAACAGTTCTGCTTTCATTTATTTTCAGCAGAAATTGGAGGAAAAAGCATTTAATTACAGAACTCTGTAAGAAACGCTTACATACACAAACGTGAGTGAACTTTTAAAATATCATTATCGGCGCAGTGAGGGACG